TTATTTATATCACTTAGTTTATTTACGATTTATAGCATCCACGTCAAGAAGTGCGAACATCATTTTGCTTAAAGTTGGATAAATATCTTAGAAGAATGAGCCTGCCGCTGTCCTTTGTGGCTTATTACTCCTTAGCTCCTCTCCTAGAAAAAACGGAAGGCCAGCACTTCGAAGAATTTTATGACAACGTTCGTGCGAAATTCATTGCGGTCATTGATGTTCGCAGAAGCCTCTTTCGTCAAAGGCTGAGTTCATCCCGAAGTAAGTAAATAAATTTGTGAATCGTCATGCCAAACCTTATTAACTGAATGCCTTAATTGACTTATTGGATATCGCAAGGAGTCTACGGCATCCCCACGCTTCTTGTCTCCATTAGCCGTTGTATTCTGTCCTGGACAATATCAGATATGATTGCAAGCCAATCACTGCAATGTTTGGCTCGCAGTTTTCGCTAGGTGCGGCCTATCTGCGTATCATGTTGCAATCAAAGTTTGTAACTGCCTCTCTCATCACGGCATCCATGCAGTAGTTGAATGGAGTCAATTCGATGACAGACTCTTGCCGTCAAGGGGTGGATTTCACAACAAACGTAAAGCTTTCTGAGATCGCTGAACGTGTTTATACCACTGCTGCTGTCATTGTAGAGATGTTTTTCAGGATCTTAACAACTTACTTTGATACATCTTCATTTCTTAGTAACTCGTACAGGATCCTGCGATCCGGAGAATCAAAAGTTGCCTCAAAATCGACAAATCCAATGAACAACAATTTCTGATATCGTTTGAACGTTTCCAGGGAAAGACGCCAAGTTAGATAATATGGTCGATGGTCGATCAGCCTGGACGGAAGCCACATTGTTCTTCTCTGATAGTATTTTATCTATAGGATCCAATTGTGATGACAGTAATTCTTCAATGATCTTAAACGCCTCGCCAAGGAATCTAATTCCTCTGCAATTTCGGATATCCGGTATAGCGCCCTTTTAATTGGAATAATCTCTGCTTGGTGCCACTCTTACTATGTTGTCTCAGCTCGTTAAATCTCCTGAATGATGATCGACAGCATCTGCAATCCTGTATTAGATGTTTCAGCAGCTGCACGTGAAGTTACTCTGGTCCAATTACCCTTTTTGAGAGCATTCATAATCTCTTCGCCGGTTGTTACATCAACGCTGCAGTCATAATCAGATTTCCTACTTCGCTGAAAGCAGAGCATTAAAGTAGCTGGCGGAATTAGGATCATAAGTTACTGGAAATGTGCCGAAAATCGTTTGGCATATTAAAATTCTACGGGCATGCGCGATCCGTGTTTCGAATTAGCGAAAGACGAGTTGGTATTATTTCTTCTGCTGTATTACCAGATCAAAGCAAATGCTTGTCTGAGGTTGTTGTATCTGAACCCTTTTTCCATAGCAACAGTTCGTTTTAGCCACAGTGCATTCCTTTCTTCAGTCAGGTTGCATTTTAGTTCGGTTTCCTTTTCTTTCCAAGGCTTTATTTCTTGCAAGTCTGGCACTTCCGTTCCTTCACTAGCTTCTCAGTCCTTCCTCCCACAGATTGACTGATGCGTTCTCTCTGGAATATTGGAATCCTGTCTCTAATGGCAGTTAGAAGCAGTTACTGCAAACACCGTACGTCATTTGCGAGCGTCTTTCCAGTGTGTGATTGAACGCCATAGAAAAATTTTTCCTGACATCTGGATTTTCCTGTAACGATTCCGTCTCCAACCTTTTGGCAGTAGATTCGGCGCCATCGTTGAGATTACTGGAACATGTCGGACAGGCAGGCACATCTCCAGGTACTTTTAGGCAGTCTTACGATGTGTTTCAAGTGGTCACTTGAGTGTGTAATCCAGCTGTAGTTGTAACTTCTTCCACCCACGCTCTTTCTGCTGCGCAATAATCAAACGCTCTGGATCTTGCTATGTTGTCTTTGCGAGCGTCATTTCGTTGTAAGTTTTTCGCATTATCCAGCCTAAATTTTTCGACGATGTTCAGGAGCACTGAACCATTTTCTGTAGTCGCTTTGCCGGCAGGAACCATTTCCCTTGTTTCATCGCTGCCAAATTGTGCTTTGGCATTCATTCAAAGGATTATAAAGTCGTTCGAAGATAGGGCATAAGTAATTGTTCAAGCCGGTCATAGAAACTATCCTTTCCTTGTTCATCTGTATCGTTCTTAGACGCGTGGGCGGTTATAATCCATGTTGTTCTAAACGATTTCGAGTTATTTATTTAGCATAATTTTAGACTAATTGGCCCCCATTTTTCCACAACTCCTTCATAATCTGGGCGTACTGCGACTCCGCAACCGCATATGCCTTCTCAGGCCTTCGATCCAAATAATACATAAAATGTCTAGCCATCAGAATGCATTTTTCTGATTTCATCTTTCTTTAATCGTGTTCCTTTGAGTTATGCGATCGGTTCGTTTAGATTATTCAAGGTTCTGGTGACGGCAGGTTGTCTGTCTTCGCCTCTCAGGGACTGGCAGTTTAAGGCGGAAATATTTAGCCTTTTCTGTAGTCGAAGCAACGGTAGCCCTGAAAATGGCCCTGGGGATTGGACAGATAGATTGCTCGCAGTGACAATGTTTGCGCGTCTGGAGATGCTGTGAGTAGCTGGTGTCAAGCCATCTACCCTGGGTGATTGCTGATATCTTAACTTTGGTATCATGATTGGATATTTATATCACAGTGTGAATCCAGAAGGTATCACGTGGAAGCGATCAGAGTCAAACACCCAACACCCCTCTCACTGAACAATGTACTGAAAATTAATTATTGTACTATAAAATTAATAGCTTTGTTAATTATGAAACTATGCAAAGTGCTAAAGAGCTTAATTCGATTTATTTCATCGAACATTTGTGCTCACGGTCATGGCTAGTAATCATGGAATTCAGTTAGTAATATAATT